TATCGAAAAAATATCGAACCGTGACACCAAAGTATCGAACCGAACCGAACCGTGAATTTTGTGTATCGTTGCACCCCTAATAGATAGATAGATAGATAGATAGATAGATGAAGTTGATTGGATTTACAGAAAGTGTACAATAATTGTTTAAACAAAATCGGGCAGGTGCATAAATTTGGGCACCAAAAAAAAGAAATGAAATCAATATTTAGTAGATCCACCTTTTGCAGAAATTACAGCCTCTAAACGCTTCCTGTAGGTTCCAATGAGAGTCTGGATTGTGGTTGACGGTATTTTGGACCATTCCTCTTTACAAAACATCTCTAGTTCATTCAGGTTTGATGGCTTCCGGGCATGGACAGCTCTCTTTAACTCACACCACAGATTTCAATAATATTCAGGTCTAGGGTCTGAGATGGCCGTTCCAGAACGTTGTACTTGTTCCTCTGCATGAATGCCTTAGTGGAGTTTGAGTGTTTCCGGTCGTTGTCTTGTTGAAAAATCCAGCCCCGGCGCAGCTTCAGCTTTGTCACTGATTCCTGGACATTGGTCTCCAGAATCTGCTGCTACTGAGTGGAATCCATGTGTCTCTCAACTTTGACAAGATTCCCAGTCCCTGTACTGGCCACACTGGCCACACTGGCCACACAGCCCCACAGCGTGATGGAACCACCACCATATTTTACTGTAGGTAGCAGGAGTTGGAATGCTGTGTGCTTTTTCCTCCATGCGTAACGCCCCTTGTTATGCCCAAATAGCTCAATTTTAGTTTCATCAGTCCATAGCACCTTATTCCAGAATGAAGGTCGCTTGTCCAAATGTGCTGTAGGTGAAGAAAAGGCTTCCTCTGCATCACTCTTGCATACAGCATCTCCTTGTGTAAAGTGTGCCGAATGGTTGAACGATGCACAGTGACTCCATCTGCTGCAAGATGATGCTTAAATCTCTGAGACAGCTTTCTGTGTCCTTCCCCTAAACCATGACGGTGAACAATCTTTGTCTTCAGGTCATTTGAGAGTAGTTTTGAGACCCCCATGTTGCTACTCTTCAGAGAAAATTTAAAGAGGAGGGAAACTTAAAATTGACCCCCTTAAATACTCTTTCTCATTATTGGATTCACCTGTGTATGTAGGTCAGGGGTCACTGAGCTTCCCAAGCCAATTTGAGTTCCAATAATTGGTTCTAAAAGTTTTGGAATCAATAAAATAACAACAGTGCCCAAATTTATGCACCTGCCTGATTTTGTTTAAACAATTACTGCACACTTTCTTTAAATCCAATAAACTTCATTTCACTTCTCAAATATCACTGTGTGTGTCTCCTATATGACACATTTAACTGACATTTTTTATTGTAACAACCAACGATTTATACAGGAAAATAATGACTATGAACCCTCTCAAGGCAGGCGTTTGCAACAGTTAAAAACTAACAACCTGATTACCCCACATACATATTTTATGAGTTTTTTTTACTCAGAAGTACCACTGCAGGACTTGGTTGTGCATTAGCAACAAAAAAACTAATTTGAGCCTGAGAGGGTTAACAAGGTTCCCCAAACTTTTGCATCCCACTGTATATACATGGACGGACAGACAGTTAAAGCTGTCTTAATAATTAATATTCTATTAATCACAATATGCAGTCATCACATAATCATTTGATGCTTCACTTGGTTAAAAAAAATCATCTAATGAATGTCAGAATATAAAGTATGCATGAACCATAAAAACAGTGACTTCTTAAATCTCTCCAGGATGAAGATGTTTGGAAGAATGATGAGCTGCTGTGTGGCTCTCCTCCTGACCTTCAGCTCTGTGTCAGCTGTAAGACGAGCGCTCAACTCAATCACTGATCTGAGGTCAGTAGGCTTTGGCCAGTCTGTGCCTGAGCAGAGCCTCTGGTTGCTCCACTGGTTTGCCAATGAAATTGACATTGACATAAACGGTGAGATAAGTCTGATCTTTGACCCACATAGTGGTGATTATGGCTCACATCATTATCGCAACGATGAACAGCTGTTAGAGCCACGGCCGAGGGGATATCAGTACTACAGTCTTGGTAATATCCATCGAGAAGGATCGTTGCGACTTCCACATCATGTCTTCCAATTAGAGCACGAGGCCGGCAACAGGGCTCGGATCATAATCAGAGTCAGGGAGCCAAACCATGGATGGCGAACTTCACAGAGAATAGACCGAGTCTATATCACACAGCATTATGGTACATCTGAACATCGAGGGACAGATTATGATCCACAATATACATATGAGATCACTGCTGACCTCTTAAGAGCGATCAGCAAGTTTTCCATGGACAGTAATGACATCAATTTACTGATGTCTCTCAGAGACCACTTTAGAAGCAGCGCTGATGACTCCCAGCTATCAGAGATGAGAAACACGTGGGGTGACCTCGCTTGTCTTGGACTGTTGTTGTTTATTGTGATCCAGAAGAGCAATTCCTCTCACAAACACAACAGATGGCAGCCATCACAGAGAAGCAACACACTAAGTGATACTGTGGTCAACATCACAGAGAGCAGGCAACACAATGCTTTTGTCTCCCCAGAAAGCTTCAACTCTACTTTGCAGGACAACAACACCTGTGTTAGGTGTTTCTGTGTTGTGTTTGGTGTTTCAGTCATCTTTGGTCTTCTGTATCTGGCATACTCACTTATATATTAATTTAACTACAATCAGTGTCAACACACAGATTAAATAGAGCATTTTATTACAGTGTACTGCCACTGACTGCAAAACCCTTGAGCAAACCGTGTTTCGCCATCAGTCTTCCTCCTGCAGTCTTGATACACTCCCTTTTTTCTTTTCCTCAGAAGCTCAGCCCCTAAACTCTTTTTCCTGACATTTTCCCTGCAGCACTGAAGACTGAAGTTGTCAATCCTTCTTGAAAAAACAGAGAAATTGGTATATTTTACACTATAATATTTATTGTCTTTATTATTGGTTTCAAAGTATCCATAAGATTGTTGAAAATGTAGTTTGTTTTTATTCAGCCAATTTTGTTCTGTCTATGCTTCCTTTAATAGAGGGTGGCTTATCATAACTACGCAGATAACACCCTGATTTAAGGCTGTAAGTGACTCAGCTTTTTCGAGAGAAATTGCTAATTTATGGATTTATTTTTTGATCCCCAACTTTCCCCATTTCTATTTTAATAATCAGCTACATTTTTTAATTTCACACCACATCATCTCATATTTCATGACTTTCCTTAATAAGGGTTTATTAATTGTATAGTAAATAAACCCAGTTAGTTTGATCTCACATTGTGTGTGATAAAAAGAAAAATAAATTACAACCAGAACTCCATGTCCTAAGAAACAGTCAGCTACAACACTTTGTTACAACCAGTTGAATAACAGGAGTTAAGATAAGATAAGATAAGATAAAACTTTATTAATCCCTCGGGTGGGTTCCTCTGGGAAATTCGGTTGTTGTTCCATTGTACACTTTGAAATAGTGTTTCCTTGCTTGAACTGAAAACCTTAAAGACTTAGATGCAAAACAAAACAAGAAGAGAAACAAAGGTTTCTCTTTAGGACTTTGTGAACTTGTTTTCTCCTTTTTAGCTTCATTTGTTTTTGTTTTTTTATCTACATGAATCTTATTTATTACACTTCTGTAACAACACTGGCTCCCGTTTCTGTCTGTTTTTTGTGCGCATTTTCTATTTTCAATGCATGTTGCTGCTTTCTTCATGTTCTATCTACCTGTATGTATCCCAAACAACCCAAATATTAGAGAAACAAACATCTTGTGACACATCCTGTGTTGGAATCATCAATTTAACTGACAGACGTTTTGCTGACTTATTCTTCTGTTCAATCAGGTTCAACAGCTTGTTAAGGTCTACAAATACTTTTTGCACATTTAGATTTTTGCAGGTGTTTATTTGTAGACATAAAAATTATATATATTTTCCTCTACTTGGTCTGGAAATAAAAATTCTGAACAAAACTTTTGATTAATTTGTGTGTAATTTATTTGCTACAAAGAAAAAGAGCTGGATGAACATCCGACTCTGTGGTGATGCCATCTTGTTTGCCAGTGGGTGGAATGATGGACAAAGGAGCTGGATGAGCATCTCTTCTTCTTTACGGGCAGTGGTGTCACTGGTGACGTCTGAAACCTCGCTGGTTCAGAAGGTGGTCTGAGCATTGGTGTGATTTATAAATTTGCGTGTTAGCGTTCGTGTTGGGTTTTCATCTGTGAGACAGAGGAGCTTGATTTTAAAGAGCCAGCTGAAAGGAGAAGGGTTTCCCCCTGGGTGGAAACACTTTTAGCTGAATGTTACATATAAACATTACTACTAAAACATTCACAAGCTGGTTTTTTTTTTTGTTAAGTTAAATAAAACAAAATTAATACACTTTTAAGTATTTATTGTGTGCCAATTAACTGGGGCACAACACATCACCTATGAGTGTCTGTACTGTGGGATACTGGTGCACGCCTGCCTCCTCACCATTATGTGAAAGAAAATACCATCAGCCCAATATTCATGAGCACAGTCACTGTCCCATCTTTTGAAAACACCACAACAGGTTAAACATAAACTTCTCATATCCTGTTGGATTTATTTAAACACTGAGTGAAGTCTTACTGACAGGTTTTTGACATTGATAGAGCTCAACAGCCACGAGGCCTCACAGGTGGTTGAAATGACAATAAAGGTTTTGACCAGCAGGGGGCGTGGTCAGATGAAGCCTCGAGAAATGAAACTTATTTTGAACCAGCTGGACTGAAAGTTTTAAGGTTTCATGAGGCTTTACGAGGCTTCATCTGCACACTTCTGACACCTGACCGGTGCCCACATACTACTTCATCAAGAATCATGGGTTAGAGCAGCTCAGCATATAATATCAAATTATTTATTTACTCTGAACAGCCCCATGAACAAACATTCAAGGTTATGTTGCTATTGTATTTGTCAAACTAGTCTCAGTTGTATTTAAGAAGGTTCCTAATGCTTGGCAGCAGGGCTGGACCCTCAGGGGTGGCACGTGCCATCCTAAATTAATCTCTTGGTTTTATTTCTTGTTGTCAGTAGCAACCGATGCCGATGCCAGAGCACATCATGAATCAACACCATGGTCATTTCAGATTTTACACAACTATTATTTTGTCAGTGTGTGATGAATGAAAAGTTCCTGTTATTCACTTTGTTTATTACTTTGTAGTTTGGATGCCCGCAGGTGAGGTCTTTATCAAATGCAAAAGGCAGAAATTCATGTCCTTCACATTTTCCATTCAGTGCGACCTAGCTGGGTTGTGTGTTTGACACCCCTGATCTACATTGACTGTAAAGTTTTACAGCTTGGAGATGTTTCACGTGAAATGTTGTAAAGCTTACGGTTAGAAGAGGTTTAATCCTGTAACATTATGTTGACAGTTTCAGCGGCCGTGCGTTGTGACACCCTGACTCTGGCCCCTTTGAAGATTTTGAACAGCAAGTAAGCAAAGAGCAAATACCTGGAAAAGGAACTCCTCCTCCCTTATGGTGTCAGTTTAAAGATGAATCAGTATAACAAAAGAAAAAACTATTTTAGTTCTTACAGTTTTTCTCAGTCGCTTTGGTGCGTTTCTCAGAACACCATTAACATTTGCACAGCAGTTAGTGCATTTCCCAAAACAATTACCGTAGTGCAAACTGCAAAACCTAGTGGATAGCCTGCAAAAGCACGTCACATGCACAGAATTGATTATCCATACCTCAAAAGCAAGTATCCATGTCAATGAAACTG